CTGAACATCTTTGCCATCATTACTTTAAACTCTTTCTCAGATAAATTACCTATCTCCTCATCACTTATTTCCTCTTCTGGGATTTTATCTTGCACCTTGGCCTGGGAGATAGTCCTCTGCCGCCTCATTTGTGTATCTTTCTATTTGCATTTTTAGGTAGGTTAGTTACGTATCTTGACCTTGGAGAGGTGGCCGTCTGTGGGAGAAGTCTTATGCATCCCAGCAGTACACTCATCTCTTGTCACCCAAGGGCCAGGGTCCAGCTGGTCTAATGTAGAGTGTGGGCTGTGTTTGTGGATTCCTTCTACAGGATATGGGATTTTTTTTCTTATTTCTGGTATCTGCCCCTGGTGGATGAGGCTGGACTAGAGGCTTATGCAAGTTTCCTGGCAGAAGGAGCTGGTGCCTGGCCACCGCTGGGTGAAGCTTGGTCCTGAACCTCTAGTGGGTAGGGCCATGTCTAGGGGCCTTTGTGACTTAGGAAGGCTGCTACTGGGTGGGGCTGTGTTCCCACCTGTATGTTGTTTGGCCTGAGGCTTCCCTACAGGCTATTGGGTGGGGCTAGGTCTTGGTGCTAATGATCCAATCAAGACGTCAGCCTCCAGGAAACCTCATGTAGATTAACACTTCTGGAATGTCCACCACCAGCTTTCATGTCCCCTGGGTGAGCCATAACCATCCCCTACGTCCCCAGGAGACCTTCCAAAACCAGCAGGCAGGCCTGGCCCAGGTTCCTATGAAATCACTGCCTCTGCCCTTGGACCTGGCACATGTGAGGTTCTGTGTATGCTTCCCAAGAGAATGAAGTCTCTGTTTCCCCCAGTCCCATGGGGCCCCTGGAGTTAAGCCCCACTGGCCTTCAAAACCAGATGTCCTGGGGTCTCTTCTTCCCAGTGCCAGAGCCCAGGGCTGGGGAGCCTGATGTGGGGCTTAGAACTCTCACTTCTGTGGGAGGGCCTCTGTGACTTAATTATTTTTCAGCTTGTGGGTCACCCACTTGGGAGGTATGGGGCCCGATTATATGGTGAGCACACCCCTCCTACCATCCTACTGTGGTTCCCTCTTTATGTTTCCAGTTGAAGATGATCTTCTTTGCTAGGTTCTAGTCTTTTTTTCGATGGTTGTCTAGCAATCAGTTGTGGTTTCATTGTAGTCATGAGGAGAGGCGAGCTCGTGGTCCTACCACTCCACCATCTTGACCAGAATTTAACATAAGATTTTTTTAACTTTTAAAAATATTTTTTATCGTGATTATATATGTTTAGCACAAAATTTGCCATTTAACCATTTTTAAGTGCACAATTCAGTGTCATTGATTATAGTATAATGTTACACAACCATTACCACTACCTATTAAATCAGTTTGTCTGTTTCCACAAATAATGTCTGTGGATCTTGACTGTGATTATGTTTAAGTGCTGCTGGTTCTCTTCTGTCACTCCTGGATAGCATCATCCTAATTGAAAAAGGAAGATCTCATTTGAAGGGTGGCTTTTCTCATCTAATCTCCTTCCTGCAAAGGATAGCTTCTGTATCTGTTTCAAAAATAAATACATTCTTATGCCAGGAATGCAAAGCTTATTGAACTAAACAATGAAAATAAACAAATGTGTATATTCGATTGAGCATCATTTCTTTAATAGGCAGCAGAGGCCAGGTAATGATTAGAAATATGTGAAATAATATTTGATGGAAGTCAATTAATCACTGGATTCTCTAGGACCAAAACAGATGAGCAACTCTCTGGCCCTGCTTGCTCTGTATCTTTAATCATGCTGTGGGTCTGGCAAACAAGAATTACTTGAGTCACTATGAAAAGAATCACAGCCTAGGCCTGAATCAATTCATAGACCCAGAGCCCCTGGAATAAAGGGGAAACCAGGAAACGGTGAGTATGAATATTGGAATAACACAAATGTGTACTGGAAATCTCCTTCCTTGCTATGACCAATGGGACTAGAGGCCAGTGTAACTGATCATTAAGGACATGAGAACAGTAGGACCACTCAGCAATTACTGGACTTCAGCTGTGAGCCAGTGCTACTTCCTGAAGACTCGGAATATACTATGATGAGAGTGCAGACTTACACAATTTTCTTCCCATCTCTGTACCTTAAGACTCTGTTAATTTAGAGATTTTAGAATTTAAGAGAAAACGGCTTCTCCCTGAGGGCTTCAACAATGTTTACATTAAAATAAAAGTTGGAAATTCCACATGATTAGTTTAAACTCTTTGTGTCACTGGACAAATGACCAAAAAACAGTTGTGTTGGTTAAGGTGATTGACTCTAGTTGTCAAGAGGAAATGAGAGGGCTGCTGCACAGTGGGAATAAGAAGGAATATTTCTAGAACCAAGGGTTCTTTGAAGGAAACTCCTGACAACACTCCACTATGAATAGTCTTGGTGGGAATGTAAATCCAGATACACAGAGAGGTTCCATCATCCTTCCTCCTGTCTCTACAACAGCTGCCAATGGGTGTACACGTGGACTAAGCCTAACTAATCAAAAATCTCTCCCTCATTTCCTCGTCTCCTCCCTCCCTCTCATCTTTTACTGGAAAGATACTTGGATGAAAGAAAAATTATTGGAGCTCAGTCATTCTAGCTGTGCTATCCAGCAGAGGAAACCACTAGCTGTCCACTAATATTCATGTGACCTTCTTCCGTAGAAATGAAGTTGACTATAGGATGTAAGCAACCCAGCTAGCAGCCATCTTTCCCAGCTCCCATGGTACCAAGTGACTAAGCTCTCAGAAACAGAATGAGCAGAACAATTCCTGCTCTACGTATTAAGAAAAAAAAGCTCCAACCCTGAACTGTTCTTTCTCTCTCCCTGATGACTGGAATGGCAGTGAGCAGAGGGACCTTAGAAGCCATATGTTTAAAACAGAAGTGCTATCATGAGTCTGGATCCCTGATATTTGCATAGAACAAAGCTTCACCAACAGTGGACAACACATCTTGGACTGTTAGGTGAAGAAAGAAAAAAATGTATTTCTTCTTACAGCCACTGAACTGGAAGGTCTCTGTTACAATCTTGGTACATACTCTAATGGTCAATTAATTTGTCTTGATCTCAGTCTGATGTCCAGTCTTTCTGTCAATTCAATGATCTCTATAATGAATATAGTAATTATAATTTTAAATATTCGGGGGAAATAAATACTGTAATCTGTCTCTAGCCATTGCATTAGCTGAAAAGAAATTAGTTGACAGTCCCCTGAAAGCAATACTCTCTTAAAAGGGATGCAAGTTATGGCAGAGACCCCAAGCTGTTGCTAGTGTCTATTCTCCAGTTCGCCCATAATAATAGTTCACCCACTTTTAGCTGATCATATGGCTATCCAGCTTCCCTTGAAGCTAGATATGGCCATAGGGATAGGTTCTTGCCAATAGGATGTAAATAAAAGTGACAGCGCAGTTCTCAGATTGTGCTCTTAAAAGGTAGGGGAATGCCCTCCCCTTACTCTGTCTGGAACGCAGGAACGATACGTGACGTTCTGTACTAGAAGATGAGAGTAACACAGTAGAGACAGAAGGAAAATAATATAGAAACAGCCTGGGCCCCTGACACCATAGACTGCTTTGAGAGAGACAAAAACTTCTCTCATTTAAAAACTGTTTTTGGAGGGGGGAATCTCATTAGACCAGCCAAAGCAATGTCCTAACTGATGCATAAGTTACATTCTCAAAGTACACCTGAGACATTGAAGGGAAACTAAGATGTGTGGATTGGAAGTCAGTAGGGCTCTGGCTTCAACGGAACTTCTAACTTGCTAAGTAACTTGAGCAAGTCAGACCCTTTCTTGGGGTCTCATTTTCTCCACCTAAACATGCAGCCCCTAACAAGATGAACAGCTGATGTATAAGACGAGAACATGTCGTGCAAACACAACACAAAAAAAGAAAAGGAATAGCAAAATCAGGTCCTGCCATAGGGGGAAAAAATCCTTGGAAAACAACAAAAACAAAAAGCACACCATGAGTATTACAGGGGCCACTCCATGCCCTTTCTTTTTTCTTTTTTCGCTTTGATGTTATTCTCTTAAACATTGGTGTTTTTAAATAAATGTTACAGATTCAGTGCCAAAATCCCATCTGCCTCCTCCCGCTGAGAAGTCATAATGCCATGTTTATGACACCAGTCTCTGTTTCCATGGGGATGATTGTGTCACTGTAATTCCAGCATTATGACTTCTGGGTATGTTTGGGAAGATGAGTGAAGGCAATGAAAAATCTTCGAATATACACATTTGCTGTTATTCTGATAACTCACAGCTACAAGAATGATAATCCTGAAAATAATCTGAAAATAGAGGAACCAGACAGACACCCACGAAAGGATGACATCACTTTCTTGACTGCTGAAAAGGCCACTTAACCCCTCAGCCCTTTTTCCTTGAAGGTTTTGGTCGGCTTCATTTTTAATTTTTTTGTGTAAGTTTTTAATATAATAATTTGCATGAGGCAACTGTCAAGCTTTTATGTGCTCCATCTCATTGCTTAAATCTTCCATCTGACTGGGGACTGCATTAAGCTCGTGCTGAATAATGCCTTCTATTATTTAAATCCATTATTTAAATTCAGTTTTGCCAAAGAAGCTATCACTCCTACTCCATCTGCAAATATGGAAACTAAATGTAGAGGTTCCTCCTAAAATTTTCCACAGAGAAAAAACATGTCATCCACTTAAATGCATGCTTTGAGCACTGCAAATTCTTTGTGCAAACAAACTTACACAACTATTTCTTTTTAATACCAAAATTAGGGTTTTAAAAAGTTTGCCGATTGTAAAAGTAATTCTTTTACGGTAGAAAATATCAAACAGTGAAAAATCTAAAGTATAAAGCAGTGTCTACTCAAAGTTGCTACGCTCCGAAGAAACATTGCTTCACCCCTATATTCTTCTGGATTTTTAAATATAAAGAAACACCAGTATTTACATAAATTGAGTCATATAATACTGTAGCAGACTGTGTTTTTTAAAGACAACCACTATAATATCCCCACGCTGTATGCTCTTCTGCAAGTATCCTTGCCACTCTTTCACGAGGAAACGTTATTTCTCCACCCCTGGAATCTGAGCAGGACTTTAGATGTCTTCGGTCAGTAGATTATGACTGCCATAATGTTATAATAGCTCTGTGCATAGCCCTTAAATGGCCTGGCAACTTCCACTTCCCACTTCTTGGAAACTGGCCACCATGTAACAAGTAGGGCAAAAGCTGAGGCCATTGTGGTGTGAGGAAGCCCAGGAAGGCCTGGAAGATGAGGTTCCATGCTGAGAGGTGAAGAAGCCAGTGCTCACCAAGGCACCAGACATGTAAATGAAGACGAGGTGCATCCTCCAGCTGATCCAGCTGAATATATGCAGGTGGGTCAAGGACAAACCACCCAGCTAAGCCCTTCTTGATTCCTGATCTACAAAATCAAAGGAAATCACTGGGTGTTCTGTTTTATTTGTTTTTTTTTTAATGATTACCAAAAAAATTTTAATGAAATGGGAAAATGCTAATTACAATATAGTAAGTGAAAAAAACCAAAGTATGTAAAGTGGGATTTTAGTCTTTGTTTTACAAAAAAACAAAGTGAACTATCATACATCCTTTTCTGCATCATGCATTCCTCATTCAATAAGTGGTGAATAAAGTCCCTTACTATAGCTCTAGTTCACTCATTTTACTGATTGCTCAGTGTAGTAGAATTTTTTTAATCAGTCCCCTCTTGACCAGCATCCTCTTTGATCCGACTTTGTGCCATTAGAATCAAGGCTACAATAACACTTTAGTGTCCATGTCCATTAATACATCTGCTTTTATTTTTCTATTGGTAGCCTTGGGAGACGCCTGGTAAGGTTAAATGATATACGTGTTTTTATTTTTAATAAGTACTGCTAAAGTACTTATGCCAAGGCTTTAACACTGCACATTTTCGCCAGGAATATGAGTATCATTTTCTTTAAATCCCCACAAGTATTAGGTGTGTAGCT